CCAACAGGACAAAATTTTGCATCAACTTTCCAGATTTCTAATTAAACAAGGTGGACTTAACCACAAGTATGTTTCTTCTCCCTCCTAAAGCCCACTAAAATGTTAGTAAAGAAATAAAAAGGACAGAAGTCCTCAAAGACAAAAAGATGACAGATTTCAACAAATTTTTGAAAAAATGGAAAAGAGGTAAGATGACAACTAACACAACAGAGAAAAACATAACAGAAAAGGTATACCTATAAACGGATGTCACAGAATCCAAGAGACACTCTGAACTTGAAGGCAGAGACCTCAAAAGATAGGGGGATAGTTGTAGGGGTAAACACACAGAACCATACACAAACATGTATGTGGAGACACTGGATGCCCAGTGCCCGCCTCTATCCATCACACAGCTAAACACTCTACCCTCGTCTCAACCTCTGCAGTAAACAAGAGAAGCCCTCCTTTAGAGAACTTAAATCAGAGAAGCTCCAGAATCAGGGATAGCAGAAACAGACTAAAAACAGTTGTGGAGAGACTACCTTAAGTAAAAATCTTCAGGCTGAATGAGAAGACAAGGTGCCCCCCAAGCCTTCATCCCTACCCCTTGCAATGAGGCTTATGTCACGGAGGCAGATATCTAGAAAGAAATATTGCATAGTGAGGATGAGAAAAGCCAAGATTGAGACTCACAGAACTAGAAATATATAAGCCTCTCAGCAGCCCTTGCCATTTCTTCTTATCTGCATGCAGTACTCTCATCTTACCAATTCACTCCAGGGAAGAAATCCTTGTAAAATAATTTCATCCCCCTGTTAAGGTGAGATAGTCAAGGAAGAGAAAATTCAAGGAAGATCAATAAACTAAATGGAAGGAAGGAAACCTCTAGAAGTCATTGTTTTTTTTTCTAACAATTAACATCCCTCATTATACTACAGAATTCTCAAATGGGCTCGTGGGGAGGGGGATGACCTCCCTTGGTTAAGAATTACTATTCCAGATCATCTAATGATCATAACAAACCAATTATCATGAGGACAAATAGGCACAAATGGTCTAGGTGTCTGAAAATTTATTAAAAGCTTACTATGTCTTAAAAGCTAAGGATGCAATGCAATAAGCTAATGCAGCAACTTGGGGATAAATCAAATTCTATAACCAATAAACTAATTTAACATTTCGTAATGTCTGACACAAAATCAAGCTAGAGCTATACACCCCACAAGATGTACTATTAGTTCATAACAATTACCATTTTTTAAATATTAACTATGTAACAGGAACTTTGAATAATGTTTCACATGCATTACTTCATTGAAACCTGACAATTTCATCAAACAGAATTCCCTATACTTCTATGAGATCAAAGAGGCTGAATAACTTTCCTAGGACCACATAGGTAAGCAGAGATGGAAATGGGATGCATGGAGCCTCTCTGACTCTAAAGTACATGTTCTTTTTACTCTATAAAAGCAAGACTCTGTCTAAGAGGTACCCTTTAAAATTAGAGGGTGATAAATTCAGGCCTGGTGCGAGGATGCCTAATCTATGTCTGCCCTTCTGTATTTAATGTATTGTCTTTAAATGGTCTCAGTACAGGATATTCATCTAGTGTTAGTATGTAATACTTTTAAGATCAAAAAAAGAAAGTTATACATAAAATCTTAAGTGACAGCCATCCTACATTAGACTATCATTAGTTCCTCGAAATAGCCTCTTTAGTGATCATCATTTTATAAAATGATAAACTGATTTAGCCTGACAGAATTTCTAGGTTAAAAAGAAGTATGCAGCAGCACCTGTGGCTCAGCTGGTAGGGCGCTGGCCCCATATACTGAGGGTGGTGGGTTTGAATCCAGCCCCAGCCAAACTGCAACAATAAAAAAATAGCCGGGCGTTGTGGCGGGAGCCTGTAGTCTCAGCTGCTTGGGAGGCTGAGACAAGAGAATCACCTAAGCCCAGGAATTGGAGGTTGCTGTGAGCTGTGTGACGCCATGGCACTCTACCGAGGGTGATAAAGTGAGACTCTGTCTCTTTAAAAAAAAAAGTATGCAAATATGTACAAATTAATATTTTATTTTCTGGTTTCACATTTCCAAATTTTTATTTTATTTGAACATTTCTTCAGAAGAATCTTTAAAAATCAAATATGTAAGGGATCAAAGATTAACAATATACAGTAAATATTTCTATAGTTCACAGAGAGGCAGAATGTTCTAGTTTCCATTACATTGTTAGTATGCTATGACAGGCATCCTCAAACTATGGCCCACGGGCTACATGCAGCCCGCCTAGGACATTTATCCGGCCTGCTGGGTGTTTTTGCCTCTGCTGCCTGTCCTGCTTAGCAGCCAACTCATCCTGGGGCCCACAGTCTGGCCCTCCAACAGTCTGAGGGACAGTGAATAGGCCCCCTGTTTAAAAAGTTTGAGGACCCCTGTCCTATGATATACCATGAGCAAATCACTTCATTTCTGGGCCTCCATAAAGAGAACTGGATGACCTAATCTCTGAAGTGCATCCTACCTTTTAAATGTTATGCTACTATAAAAAACAATCGAGAAGACTTTCTAATACATGATCAACTTTACCTTGAATAGGAGCAAGCAAAGGGCTATAGCAGAGGGGGAACGTAACTCTAATCAGCAATGACTGTTTCATCTAGACCACTTATTTAGCAGCATATCCATGCTGGACATAAGAGTTGACAAGATCCTGAAGGGCCATCAACTCTCAGGGGTACACCAGACTAGCTCTTCTTTTAATTTGAAAGTGCCTAGCTTAGTTTGAAAAATAATAAACCCCACTTTTCTAGACCACGAAAACCAACTTCATCTATTTAAATAATCTCTTCATCTCAGCCTCTATCTAATAAAAGAAGAGAGTTTAGGATTTCTTTGGTACATATGGATAAGGATTTCAAAAGCTGATGAAATTTGTACATAGTAGCAAAGTAGGGCTCAGGAGTTTTACCTAATCTCTCTTACTGGTTCCTCTTTAATAAACTAGAATTGTGCACAAAATATGGAAAAAGGCAAAGTGTAGGTGGGACCTAGTGGGAGGTGTCGCTTGGATCTTGGGGCCAGATCTTTCATTAATGGCTTGGTGTGATTCTCGTGGGAGTGAGTGAGGTCTCACTCTTAGTTCCTGCAAGAACTAGTTGTTGAAAAGAGCCTAGTACCTCCTCTCCTCTCTCTAGGTTTATCTCTAGCCAAGTAATCTCTGCACACACCAGCTCTCCTTCCTCTTTCTACCATGAATAGAAGCAACCTCAGTCCCTCACCAGAAAAAAATGCAGGTCCATCTTTTTTCTAGAGCCTGCAGAACCATGAGCCAAATAAATCTCTTTATAAATTATGAAGCTGCAGGTATTCCTTTATAGCAAAAAAAAAACAAAGACAATGATTATAGTATCAAGGTTCTCAAAGATCATACATTCCAGTTTATATTTTCTCCTGATTTGTGATTAAATAATTAAATTATCTAATTAATTAAAACCCAAGCACCAGGGCATGTTTACAATGATTTACAAAATTATAGGCCACGCTGCTGTGGTTTAAGTTTACAACTTAATTTTATAATTAAGCCCCAAGGAATATAAGGGGGGGAGAGTATGTATATCTATTTTCAGAAATAACCAAAAAGTCCTAAAAACAAAATAAAATTTAACAAATAAAAATTAAAATAAAATTATCTTGTAAATATCTCTTTAACATCTTTCACCCCAAAGTACTAAAAATACCAGAAGTCAGTTCCTAGTCATTTCATACATGGAGCCAGCGAAGTCAAAACTGGAGTAAACAACTTTACTAAAATCAATACAGTAAAAGGAACGGAATTAAAATTCAAAGCCCCCCCCCCAAAATTCAAAGCCCCTGATTACAAGATCCATGCTCTATTCAAAAACCAAGACACCTAATCAAAGATCCTGCAAGAATTCAATTACTCAAACTTCTGTTCACTGTACCAAAAATGCCTATGCAAGAAACACTCTCTGACAAACTACAAAGAGGAAAATAAAAAGTAGAAACACACTCAAAGGACCTGATAAATACCTGCATAATACCTGGATAATGAGGAGTTTTTCCCCCAAGTTTAACACTCTTTGACTTAAAAATTAAATATCCTGGCTCAGCACCTATAGCTCAACCGGCTAAGGCGCCAGCCACGTACACCTAAGGTGGCGGGTTCGAATCCCCAGCCCGGACCCGCCAAACAACAATGACGGCTGCAACCAAAAAATAGCCGGGCGTTGTGGCGGGCGCCTGTGGTCCCAGCTACTTGGGAGGCGGAGGTAGGAGACTCGCTTGAGCCCAGGAGTTGGAGGTTGCTGTGAGCTGTAATGCCACAGCACTCTACCCAGGGGGACAGCTTGAGGCTCTGTCTCAAAAAAAAAAAAAAAAAAAAAAAATTAAATATCCTACAAGTATTAAGAGGATAAATCAATACAACATTCATAAATATGTGATTAGCCAATGGTACAAGTTTGAATTTGAGTTTTACACATAATTTTTTAAGTATCTACATATGCTACTACAGCCTTAGACCTCCAGAAATTACTTTATTAAATCTATGAAGGCCTTCCCAGGCCACATATGCCAAATCAATAGAAGGTCCACTAGAAAATACTTCTTTTAGGAAAAAAACCATGCCGGGGAGATATAATTTTATTAACATTTATTATTTTATAAATATTTAAAATAAATCTTTCTTGGTTACTAATATACTTTCCTAAAGGTGATACATTTAACTTACAGAGTAAAACATTTTTTAGAATCTATAGTAGTAGCTCTGCAACCTAGGATGACCAGCAATATCTGGAGACTTTTTTGGTTTTCACAACCACAAGGTACTACTGGCATCTAGTGGGTGAGGCCAGGGACTCTGCTAAACATCCTACTACGCACATGACAGCCCCATACAACAAAGAATAATCCAGCCCCAGTGTCAACAGTGCCAAAGTTAAGAAACTCCAATCTACGGTCTAACTTGTATTGTAAGGACTGAGATTTACTTACCTTTAAATTTAATATCCAGACCACTAAATTCCAATTCAACTCCTTGAAGTGCTTCTCCTAGAGTTTCATGGTAATGACTGATACTTTTTTTTGAGCCCACACAGAATGGGAGTGAAAAGTATTTGTATGTTTCTTGTCGATTATGGTAGGGCCCCACAGTATTCATCCACAAGACAACTTCCTCTTTTTCTATATACTGAAACAAGAAAGGCAAATAAGAATGTTTTATTAAAAAATCTAATTCAAATTAAGGTAATATTCATTATGTGTTCTAAACAAATATACTACCTCTGTTCAGAAAGCTATAAAATACTAGAAGATTGCTTTAATCTGATGATTGATATCTACACTTTAAAAATGAAAACTTTGAGGCCAGGTGGGTGCCTCACACCTGTAATCCTAGCACTCTGGGATACTGAGGTGGGTGGATTGCTTGAGCTCACGAATTGGAGACCAGCCTGAGCAAGAGTGAACAAGACTGTCTCTAAAAATAGCCAGGCATTATATGTGGTGAGCACCTGTAGTCTCAGCTACTCAGGAGGCTGAGGCAAGAGGATTGCTTGTATCCAAGTTTGAGGTTGCTGTGAGCTATGATACCACAGCACTCCACCAGGGTGACAAAGTGAGATTTTGTCTCAAAAAACAACAACAATAATAACTATATAATTAAAACTTAGTGAATTTTAAAATGATATCCTGATTGTAGTCTCGGGCAGATCCACCTTTTTCAAGTTTTTACAGAAGATAGTGTTTAAACAAAGTCCAATACTTCATAAGAATATGTCTATAATTAATATTTATACTATCAATAATGATAAATGTAGAACCATCATGACTCACTAACATGAACAAGGAAGGAGTAAATCAAATCAACAGCTTATCCAGAATTTCATGTTAATCATTAGAAACCAAAAAAAAACTATGTCAAAAAGCACAAATAAAATTTGTCTCCTTCCTAGGAGCTATTGGTCAAAGCACTAGAAAGAAAAGACATGACCAAAACAAGAGACGAAAAGCCACACAATGAAACAAATCTGTTCAAGTCAATATTCTGTTAACAGCCTGAAAAGACACGCATTGTATGGATTAATTTTTGAGTAAGTATGGCTCTACATGTCAATGAACACTCTGTATAGCTAAATCTGGCGTGTGGACCAATGATTCTATATAGCTGACTTCACCTTTCCAAGGTCTAAGTGTTTCATCTGCCAACTATTTCAAAGATCTCTACAAGTTTGAAATTCTAATGATTCTACGAAAACCGATCACCTCAGTAATTTCAAAACTAGTAATACTAAAGACAACATAGGATGGATTTAAGTCAACTAAGAGTGTAAAAGTTAATTCACTGAACAAATTTAGTAAGTGCCTAGCATATGCAAACAACTATGGTTATAAGTAGTGGCTGAGGATACAGCTTTACATAAGTCATATTCCCTGCCCTTCCGCAGTCTGAAAGGAAACGTGGAAACTGAGCAAGCAGTAACAGTGAAGTAGATTGCCATAGAGCATATATAACAGCATGTATATGCGGGCTTACTATGAAGTTCTTCTCTCCAGTCCTCCATCTAAAACTATAAATAAAAACATTTCTGGCAGTGTCTGTGGCTCAAAGGAGTAGGGAGCCCCATACACTGGAGGTGGCGGGTTCAAACCCGGCCCCAGTCAAAAACTGCAAAAAAAAAAAAAATTTCCATCAAAATCTAATAGCTCCAAACCAAACTCATTCTACCCAAATCCACTCCCCCAACTTTTTTAAATGGCACTACCATTTTCATGGACACGGAGACTCAAATCCCAAATCTCTCCATCCCAGGGAACCAAAAAATAGTATCTTATCTATCTTTACCTAAAGTATCTGCCTCTTCCCTTTGAGTCACACCATCACCATAAGACTAAGACCTAGCTACTTCATCTTTCAATACAATAAATGTTTAATAAATGTCTCACTATTCAAGTAAGACATCATTCAGGGCTTGGTGCCTGTGGCTCAAGTGGCTAAGGCACCAGCCACATACACCTAAGGTGGCGGGTTCGAATCCAGCCCGGCCCGCCAAACAACAATGATGGCTGCAACCAAAAAAAAATAGCCAGGTGTTGCGGCGGGTGCCTGTGGTCCCAGCTCCTTGGGAGGCAGAGGCAGAAAACTCGCTTGAGCTGAGCCCAGGAGTCGGAGATTGCTGTGAGCTATGCCATGGCACTCTACTAAGGGGGACAGCTTGAGGCTCTGTCTCAAAAAAAAAAAAAAAAAAAAGACATCATTCAGGTCACAGGAAATACTCTCTCATTTTTTGACTAAATAAGACATGTACCAAGCACAGTGTTAAGTATTACAGGGGTAAAGAAAGTAAAATACTGTGCTTTCCTTTAATATGTTCCTAATCCACAGTGGAGCCACACAAGTAAATGATAAAGAAGAAATAAGAAGATCATGCCATATAATTAAGGTAATACAGAGCTAATATAGCAACAATAAAGGAATTACTAATTCTGCTTTGGCAGAGAAGGATCAGAATGAATAACATTTAGAAATCATAAGCCATTTCAAGCTGAGTTCAGAAAAACTGTATGAGGCGTCCAATCTGCGGTCTACAGGCCACATGCTGAATTTGTGAGGACTCTTTTTACATGGACCTTTCTTTTCACTAATCAGCTTGCATTAGCGTTTGTCTATTTAATGTGTGGTCCTAGGCAACTCTTACTCTTCCAATGTGCAGCAGAGAAAAAAGGCTGGACATCCACTAGATAATCTTACATATAACATAATGAATCAATGGCCTAAATGTTAATGAACCATATAACTTTCATTACTTTCATTACTATTGTTTTTATTGGGGGGGGGAACAAATTTATGTATGTCCTTATTCTTCCATCCAATGCTCAAGGTCACATAGCACTAATCAATGAAGGTTCTCCTTTCTGCTAAACATAGAGCCTCAGAAACTTTCTCAGATCAGTACTCTGAACCAATTACCACCAACTGACCAGAGTTGGGATTAGAATTCCAACCTGTTCACCAAGGCAGAATACTCTCTGCATAGTATAATGTACACAATAGGATTTAATAAATATGATGAGAAAACACTGAAGAAATTCTGAAATGTAAAGTTCACTGCAACTTAGTAAAAGAAGTTTGAAGTACGTGCACTGACTAATGTGTACACTGCAATAGTACCTTTTTAGAGAAGAAAGGGGAGGTAACAAAATGCAACCATTTAAGATTAGAATGTTGAACAGAGGACCTGTTAATGAAGATCTTGCCATTAATCCTGCTAAGCCTGAAAAAATATTATTATAATTTCTGAAAATAAGCAAAGATACTTTTTCTATAAATCCCAATACACTTATTCCTTTAAAAATAGACAACAATTTGAACATCCTTTTTTAAAACAGGGTATCTGTTTACATAAACATAAGAACTAAAATAACTTGTGGTCACTAGAGGTCACAGTAGTATGTTGAACTACACCTTCTGAAGTCACTCATTTTAAACATTCACGAAACCTTAATAGGGTTGGTACAGTAGTGATGATGTGATTCAAATACTAAAACAAAATTTGTATTATTTTATAGTCTTTCTGGAAAGAAGACTGAAATAGTAATTAGAAAATACACACATAGAATTTAGGTGAATATTAAGGCAAAAATAATGCCTCTTTTATATTGCTCCCTATCATGCAGACCACGGTTAAATACAATAAACTTAAAATGTTTACTTTCCACAGCAGTCCTTGATTGTTCCTGAGAATAACTGCTCAAGGCAAGGACAAAAGTTCTTTCTCAAGAGAGAAAACGTTTCTTAAGATTATCCTGAAATCAGAAAATATTAAAAGGAAGGTTTAAAAAAACTCAAAGAAAAAAACCCCTTTCCTTTCTTTTTCTTTCTTTTCCCTAAGGCTGCTGAGAAAGTCCCTTGAGCCCTCCCAGTCTGTGGAAAGACCACCAGGTCCAGAAGAAGAGAGGGAAGGAAAAGAGTCACAAAGCACAGCAGTGACTCAGAGGATGCCTGAGCAAGGCAATGATTCCTTCCATCTGAGACCGCCCTAGGAAGGAGCCAAATGAGAGGGGCCAATTTAGCCTACCTGTGCTCTTCACCTATTCATTTCCTAGCTCTCAGAAGAATTTCACTGTTACATTCAATCTATGAGCTATCCACTCTGGCTAAAATGGCTTACGACATTGTCTTCCTTTCCTTTTCAGCTCTACCTTGTCATTCCCTCAAACTTATAATGCCCTCCTTTTCTCCACTCAGTCAAATTCTACTATTATCCTTCAGAACTGCTTTAATCTTCATTTCTCAAATCCACCAGTAAAACAATCTTTTGTAATAATAACATCATTAGCTAGTACTAAGTAAATGCCACGAGCTGGCATTTCTAAATAATGTTCTTTGCATGAACATTAATCTTCTCAAAACTCTATAAAATAGGTCCTATTATTTTTACCATTTCATGTACTAAAAAAAAAAAGGCCAAAACAAAAAAGCCAGATGTTAGTTAAATAATTTGTCCAAGACCATATAACTAATCAGTTATCAAGTTTAGGACTATACTTTTGCTAATCCCTAGTCAGCTTCATTCACTAAAAAGCAAGGAAATATGAGGGGGAGTAGAGGTGTACACAACAAAAGATGGTACCAAATACTGAACAATTTTACCATTTGAACCTTTAATCTGCCCTAAAGGAAAAAAAACTTCCTGAGAAGCTACTTGCACACTAATCTCAGAAAGAATGACTTTTAAACTCAAGAAGTCACCAATGTTGCACCCCTCTTATTTAAATACTCTGTCATGTGCTGGGAGGGAGAGAGCATCAAAGTTTTCTCCTTGACTCCTTGACAGACACCATGAAAATATTCTTCAGGAGAAACATTTAAGGACATAATGTTGCTAATGTGCTCCTGTAAATCTGAATAAAGAAAACAGAAGTTACATATGACAGGCAAAGGACTAAGGGCTCAGAATAAGCCCCCAATGCTATCGTTCATTTTCATGGGAAGGGGGAAAAACTGTTTAATATATTACTATAGAAAGCAAAATCCAGTTTTCAAAGTGTTTCAGAAATCGTAATTTCAAGGAGTCTTAATTATTTATTTAAAACACACACCAGAATTCCAATAGAAATAAATTGGATGTATATTTTTGCATAGTCTCTTGAGGTAACTATTCTCGCTCAAATAGCTTTACACCTAAATAA